TTGTTGTTGTTGTTGTTGTTAGGTGCTGTCGAGTCCATTTCAACTCACAGCGGCCCTGGGAACGAGAGAACAACACCGTGCCCAGCCCTGCACCGTCCTCACAATGGTTCTTATGTCGGAGCCCACGGTGGCAGCCACTGTGTCCGCCCATTGCATCAAGGCCTTCCTCTCTGTGGCTGCCCCTCTGCCTTACCACGCATGATGGCCTTCTCCAGGGACTGGCCTCTCTTGACAGTGACCAAAGTACGTGAGCCAAAGTCTCACCATCTTGGCCTCTCAGGAGTGTTCGGCCTTCACTTCTTCCCAGACAGACGGATGGGTCCTTTTGGGAGTCTATGGTCCTTTCAATATTCTTCGCCAGCACTGTTATTAAAATGTAATCGATTCTTCCTCAGTCTCCCCGATTCAAAGGTCCACCTTTCACAAGCATACGAGGCCACGGAAAATACCATGAAAATCCAACTCACTGCCATCGAGTCGATGCTGACTCATAGCGACACCCTGTGGGTTTCCAAAACTGTTTATGGGAGTAGAAAGCCCGGTCTGTCTGCCAGAGAGCTGCTGGTGGGTTCGAACTGCCGACCATGTGGGGCGCAGTCCAGCACATCACCTTGATCCCACCAGGGCTCCTCCTCTGTCAAAAGGAGATTCTAATAGGCGCTAATCACGCGTGTGAAAATCAAGTGAAACGTTGCATGTAATGGTCTTAGCAGGCCACCTGGAGCAAGGTGGGTAAGAGTGTACACTCGGGGGCTGTGGCAAAGTGTATGCCACCATGATTGAAGACAGAGCACCCTTTTTCCCATCCCTGACTTATTCTGGCCCTAGGAGAAGGGAGCAGCCATTGATCTTCCCGCCATCGAGCCAACGATGCCTCTCTTTGGGAACACCTTCAGCCCAAAGAAGACACCTCCTCGGAAGTCGGCCTCTCTCTCCAACCTTCACGCTGTGAGTGTCGGGCTGGGCTTTATGGACCTGATAAGAGTCGATTCCATTATGGTTTGGGGCCCATTTGACTTCCACTTGATTCCGAGACTTCCCCAAAGCAACTATTTTCTCAAAGGACAGTGATTTGCCAACATGAGTGGCATTCAGACAGATATTCCGCATGTTCAAAGGCGGTTTCGAAAGAGATCTTCCAGCTATGTCTGGAGCAAAGCCCATAGCAGTAGCATAAATGATAGCCTGCCCAAGTGACCCGCCATCTATTTAAATAATAATAATCTCTATGGATTTTTCAAATGATAAGTTGGAAGTGGGGCCACATGCAAATCAATTTGAATGCCCAGTTGAGAGAGGCTGCACCGACATGCACAGCACTCCCACAGGGGCCTTTTCTGCTCAGCTCGATGGAGCATCATGTGTGCCCGGCTTCCTCGTGGAATCCCATCCCGTGGCGCTCACATACCCAGGTTGTCTGTCAGAGCCAGCAAGGCACGTAGCCTGGCTCCCCAGAGCAAGTCCTTCACAGAAGGGGAGCAGATGGGCCGCAGGGCTCTTACGTGTTCACACGGGCCTGTGGGTCGTTGAGCCCATCGCCCCCAGTCACAGTCAATGTGGGGAAGCCTCCCTGTGGTCAAGCTGCACAGCCCATGATGCAAGCCAGGCCCATCACCCCGTGGTACCCCTTCCCTCCCTGCCGAGCATGGGAGGTATAGCCATACACAACCCTTCGGGGACATCCCGTGGCCCGACCACACCGTAGGAGAGCAGCCTCTGGCTGGCACCCGCCACAGGTTGGGAAGTGAACCCCCACAAGGCTTTGTGTTCCGGCCGTGCATTTGATGAGCTCCCCACCACGACGGGACAAGGCCCTGGGTCCTGAGCGGGACCTCACTCCAGCTCCCCTCCCTGCCCTTGCCTTCTTAGCATCACTCTCCCCAACCTGGGTCCTGCCTGCTGAGGGCTCCCTTAGTAACTCCAGGCACTCATGGGGGATCTGCTGGGTGCCGGGCTCGCCTGCAGGCACCAGGAAGCAGAGGTGGAATAAGGATCCCAAACCCAACCTGCGGCCATCAAGTCGATTTCAACACACAGCGACACGACCCTACGAGACTAAGTCTTTCCGGGAGCAGCCTGCCTGGGCTTTCTCCCGCTGCGATCGTGAAGGCTGATTCAAGTGTCTCCCCACAGCTGGACCGGTCCACCCGGGAGGTTGAGCTGGGCCTTGACTACGGGACCCCCACCATGAACCTGGCGGGGCAGAACCTCAAGTTTGAGAATGGCCAGTGGATAGCAGGTGGGCCCCATGCCCTGCCTTTGGGTCGGGCCAGAGTGGAACGGAGCCCCCCTGTGTAACTCCCCCGCTCCCCGACTTCCCGCAGACACGGGGATCAGCGCGGGCGTGGACCGGAGGGAGGCCCAGCGCCTGCGCAGGCGGAACCAGCAGCTGGAGGAAGAGAACAATCTCTTGCGGCTGAAAGTGGACATCCTGCTGGACATGGTGAGC